CCGCAACTTTGAATCCGCGTCACCTCAGAACCCCATCTCCATCTTCAAAACCATCCTCATCATCTACATCTGCTCTGTTGTCATCAGCGTCTCATTCAGCAACTGCAACAACATCAACAAAGAGGAAAGAGACAGCAAAAACATTAACAACAACAACAACATCAACATTAACAACATCAACAACAACAGCAACAACAACAGCCACTAGACCATCTTTATCATCATCAACCGCGAAATATAATGATTTGAAAGTTGCAACAACAACATCAGCATTAACACCAGTAACAACGTTACAAACAACAACAACATCAACAACAACAACAAAACGTCGCAACGTAGTTTCCCAAACTACTACCGCTAAAACGTTAACCACAGCAGCAGCCACCACAACAGCTACCACAACAGCCACAGCAACAACATCGACAAAGAACACACCTCTATTCAGACAACTTCTCAACAATATAAGCAGCAGTGCTAATTGGAATGATAATAGCAGAAACTTTTTCAAGAAAAAGACCTCAAACTCATCATCACAACAATCGCAGGTAACCGCAACCACCACAACTACCGCAACTTCTGCTACTACTACGGCCACAACTGCAGTTACAACCACCACATCTACAAATCTAGTTACGTCAGCGATGACGTCATTAGCGGCCAAACTAGCGAATAAAGCAGACTCATATCCGGTTTCGAGTGGGCAAGTTATCCCAGACACACCTGATAAGGACGATTTACATGCTATTCCGGATATTGCTGATCCGGCTATTCTCTATCCGGATGATAGATCCCAAGGAAGTGTTAAGTCAACTTCAAGATTTCATGATATTCCAGGAATTGATAAGTTGAATGAGGTCTGTTTGTTGACTTGTTGGTTGATTGGTTGATTGGTTAGTTGGTTAGTTGGTTAGTTGATTGGTTGGTTGGTTGGTTGATTGGTTGATTGGTTAGTTGATTGATTGGTTGGCTGGCTGGTTTGTTGGTTGGTTGGTTGGTTTGCTATAAAACTGTTTGACCGGCTAGATAGTTGATTGATTGACCGAATAACTAGTTAATTTGTCAATTTCTCAATGAATGAAGAGAAAAACTTAAAAGAAACATGCAAAATAATTCCAAAATAATAATCCTTCCACTGTATCAACTCAACCCAACGAATAAAAACCACAAAAAGTACTTGAAAACGAAGAAGAGTGAGATAGTGGAGGGGAAAAGATCAAAGAGCAAAGTTTGGAGTAGTGTAGTGCATGTGGTTCTCGTAGAAATTAAAAACCTTCCGTACCGTCAGGACGGCACAATACCCGATGTATTCGTCAGATTCAAACTGGGAATTGAAAAGTTTAAGACCAAGGTAAAATTTGTCTATTCTCTACTGATTTTTTACCGTTTATAATCATAAAATTCACATGAATGTATACGAATTGACGTGAATGTGCCTAAAATTTACAAAGATTTGCCCAAAATTCACATAAATTTATACAAATTCGCAGAATTTCACACATAATTCACTTAAATTTATACGAATTTACACAAATTTACACAAAATTTACGACAAAATTTACCTAAATAAACATGACAGACGAAAAACAGAACGATAAACCCGCACTTTTGTGAAGAATTCGATCTTTATCTCTACGACGATTCCGACACTAACCTGGAGATCTCAGTCCGGAGCGCTGATAATCCCGCAAAAGATACTTCCCTGGCTGAGTGGGAGCAAATTTTTTCCGGATTTTATTTTATTTATTTTAATTATTTAATATTTAGCTAAAATACTCTATATTATTCTCTATTAAATCTCTTGATTATACTTTCAATGTAATATTATGCCCATGTACATGTAACGAAAAATATATCCAATAGGTATGTATGGTAATGTTACACTATGTGTAAAAATTGTCACAATTATTCTACCATAACTTTAACGTTAATAATAATTTTAATTTTAATTAATTAATAGTTTATATAATACATTTTAATTTTAAATTAAATAATTTTTTTTAAAAAATCACAAAAAAAAATCTACCAAGGCTAATTATCGACATCAACAAATACGAAGAAGACAGGACCCACAAATTAAAGTTGACCCTTGACCCAAAAGGTCAGATCTTTTTACTTCTGACCGTGTCGTACGTGGGTGACTTTTCAAGTGACGTCACCGATGTTGACCCTGGCACGGGCGTGGTTGTGCCGCGGGGTAGGGCTAAAAAAACTAAAAAAGAAGTCAAGAAATATTTTGTGAGTTCGATGCTGTTAACTCTGTTGATGTGGTTGTTATTATTGTTAGTAGTAGTAGTAGTTGTAGTAGTAGTAGTAGTAGTTGAAGTGGTGGTAGTAGTAGTAGTAGTAGTAGTAGTAGTAGTAGTAGTAGTAGTGGTAGTAGTAGTAGTAGTAGTAGTCGTATCAGTAGTAGAAGTAGTAGTAGTAGTAGTAGCAGTAGTAGAAGTAGTAGTAGTAGTAGTAGTAGTAGTAGTAGTAGTAGTAGTAGTAGTAGTTGAAGTGGTAGTAGTAGTAGTAGTAGTAGTAGCGGTGGTAGTAGTGGTAGTAGTGGTGGTAGTAGTAGTAGTAGTAGCAGTAGTAGAAGTAGTAGTAGTAGTAGTAGTAGTAGTGGTAGTAGTAGTAGTAGTAGTAGCAGTAGTAGAAGTAGTAGTAGTAGTAGTAGTAGTAGTAGTAGTAGTAGTAGTAGTAGTTGAAGTGGTAGTAGTAGTAGTAGTAGTAGTAGTGGTAGTAGTGGTAGTAGTAGTGGTAGTAGTAGTAGTAGTAGTAGCAGTAGTAGAAGTAGTAGTAGTAGTAGTAGTAGTGGTAGTAGTAGTAGTAGTAGCAGTAGTAGTAAAAGTAGTAGTAGTAGTAGTAGTAGAAGTAGTTGTAGTAGTGGTAGTGGTAGTAGTAGTAGTAGTAGTAGTAGTTGTAGTAGTAGTAGTAGTGCAGCTAACACTACTGTTGCTACTGCTACTGCTACTACTACTACTACTACCGACTACTGCTAATAATAATAATAACATAATAATTATCTATAGGCTGCTTGGAGAACTTTCAATGATTTCTGGAGAATCGGCTGGGTGGAAGTGAAAGGTTAAAAATAATTTTTGTTGTTGTTGTTCTTGTCATTGTTGTCATTATTATTATTTTTATTATTATTATCATTATTATTATTATCTATATGACTATAACTATGACTATAAATATTTTGTATATTTGTGATAATTGATTTTATATTTTGAGGTTTGATAATAATAAAAAGAGTTCCCATTATTATTTTTATTATCATTATTATTATTATTATTATTATAGTTATTATTATTATTATATTATTATTATTATTATTATTATTATTACTACTACTACTACTACTATTAATATTAGTATTGTCACGCCAACAGTAATCAAAGCATTGAATTTAACTTCGGCTGATTTGGGCGGGACGAGTGATCCGTACTGCATTGTGACCCTGGATAACAACAGGGCCCAAACAAATACAGTATACAAGAGCGTTAATCCAGAGTGGAATAGAACCTTTACTATGTTGGTGATTGTTGGCTCCAGTCAATCAATCGATCGATCAATCAATCAATCAATCAATCAATCCATCCATCCATCCATCCATCCATCAATCATCAATCCATCCATTCATCCATCCATCAATTAATCAATTTATCAATCAATCAATCAATCAATCAATCGATCGATCTATCGGCCAGTGTAATTTATATAATAGCTCATTTAGCATTATTGTAACTCAGAGACATTCAAGACATACACTCGGCTGTCGAGGTGACAGTAGTGGATGAGAATAGGAGTAAAAAGATTGATTTCCTTGGCAAAGTCGCTATTCCATTATTAAACGTAAATTATTAATAATAATTATTGCCCATAATTACTAATTATGACTATTAACCATAATTATTAATTATAATTATTAACTATAATATTATTATTATCTCTTTTACGATAGAGACGAGTTTAGTGGCGTAGGCACTTGGTCCTGTCTTTTTCAGCGAGCTTTTTCGAATGCAATAACATGCAATATGAGTAGTTTAATTATGGATGCTTGTGAATAATTATGAATATTTCTGGATAATTATGGATAATTATGGATAATTATGAATTTTAAAGATTAAAAAAGGCCAAAGAGTGGCCTATCAACTAAAAGACGCAAAATTAATTGGGAAAGTGAAAGGAACCATTGAGTTGGAGATGGATTATGTTTATAACCCTGTACGTGTGTGTGTGTGTGTGTGTTTGTGGTGGGGTGTTTTTTGTGTGTATGTGTGTGCGTGTTTATATGTGTGTGTGTGTGTTTGTATATATGTATGTATTGTATTTATACTTATTGAAAGATTGATTGACAGATTGGTTAGTTGATCAAATTGATATTTAAACTACTTATGAATGAATACCATGAATATTCATAATTATCGATAAATATTCATAATTATCGATAAATATTCATAAATTCATAATTATCGATAAATATTCATAACTATCGATAAATATTCATAACTATCGATAAATATTCATAATTATTAACAATGATTCATAATTATCCATAATTAAACTAAGATGTACTGCTTGACTGTGTTATACTTTGAATTATGGATGCTACCACCGATACTGATTTTCATCATCATGAAAAATTTATTTTTCTTCAACCTCTCCATTGGCTTTCGGGATAACAGAACTGATGTTATTATTATTATATTATTATTATCTATTATTATTATTTTTATTATTGCTATTATTGTTATTATTGTTATTATAATTATTATTATTATTGACAGAGCCTTCCCAGCCATTATGAAGATGACGATGACGATTTCGAAACCAGGGTTGATTAACGTTACTGTTCATTCGTTCATCCATTCGTTCATCTATTTGTTTATTCACTCATTCTTCTATCCATTTGTTCATTCATTCGTTCATTCATTCGTTCATTCATTCGTTCATTCATTCGTTCTCTTGTTCGTTCGTTCGTTGATGAAAATGATAGATATGACGGTTACTTTAAAAAATAATTTTCTTTTTCTGTATCTATCTCTCTCTCTTTCTCTCTCTATTCACTCCCTCTCTCTTTTTTTTCTCTTTCCTTCTTTATCTCTCTCTCTCTCTCTCTTTCTCTCTCTCTCTTTACAACATATACGTAGGAGCCAGTTGAAAATGAATAGAAGCCACGCACAGGGGAACTATTACCATTGTGATTAAGATGACGATGATGATGATGATAGTGATTTTGGTGGTGATGATGACGATGATGATTGTGATTACTATTATTATTTATTATTATTATTACTATAATTATTATTATTATTTTCAGTCCATAGAATCAGATGCTAGCGAGTTTGAAATTAAGTCAGAGGCGTTCGACCGAGTATGATCCGTAAAATATTTTTTGTTTGTTATTATTATTATTACAAAATAGAAAACAACAACAATGATAATAATAATAACAATAACAACAACAGAAATTATAATAATAATAATAATTATCATAACTGTAATTAATTTTTCAGTAGTTATTAACGTTTATACGATGAATGAATTTTAATATACTATAAATACAGAGACGCCAATAGTACCGACGATGATGACCGTTAAGATATTAATAACAATAATAATAATAATATATTATTATTATCATTATTATTATCACTCACTAATTAGATAGTAAGACATTTGGAAGCTCTGAGAAAAACGTCATCAGTCTTTGATGGCTCCGTTGAAAAAATTAAATTTAAGGATGTTATCGATAAAGTATGATTAAGTGATTAATGACGGATCTAAATTTGAAAAGAATTTAATACTTGATAGGTTGAATGATTTAATGATTGGTTGGTTGGTTGGTTGGTTGGTTGGTTAGTCGGTCGGTCGGTCAGTCGGTCGGTTGGTTGGTTGGTTGGTTGGTTGGTTGGTTGGTTGGTTGGTCGGTTGTATTGGTTAGTTGATTGATTGATACATCAATGAATGAATGATTGAATAAATGAATGAATGATTGAATAATTGAATACATTGATTGATTGATTGGTTGGTTAGTTTGAAAAAATTCCGATTAACTCTCTAAAAATGTTAAATATCCTAACATAATTCCTTTCATTGAAACGACGAAAATTTAGTTTATTTCCAAGTTTCTAACAAAAAGTGCTTGTATACATGCATGTATGTTTGTAGGTTCGTTTATTTGTATGTATGTATGTATGTATGTATGTATGTATGTATGTATGTATGTATGTATGTATGTATGTATGTATGTATGTATGTATGTATGTATGTATGTATGTATGTATGTATGTATGTATGTATGTATGTATGTATGTTTGTATGTATGTATGTATGTATGTACGTATGTATGTTTGTTTGTTTATTTGTTTTGTTTGTTTGTTTTTTTGTTTGTTTGTTTGTTTGTTTGTTTTCATTGTTTGTTGGTGTTATTTGTTTTCTCTAACGCGAGCAAGTTTTTTACTTGCAAAAATCTAAAAACTTACACACGTTAATATTCAAAGTTCTCTGTTATCTAACCAATTTACAAGCCGGTCATACACACACAACACACACACACACGCATACACACACATACACACACGCGCGCACACACACATACACACACACAAACACACACACACTTAGGAAGAAAGAAAATCTTTACTGGAAAAATTCCAAGCATTACAGGAAGTCTGCCTGATGGTGCAAGAAATTTTGGACGTCGTAGCATCTCTTTTCGAAAGAATTCGCAAGTAAATAATTTAATTCATTATAATTGAATTATTTATAATTGAATTATTTATAATTTAATTATAATTTAACTAATAATATTTCGGATAATCATAATTTATTATTATTATCATAATTATTTATTATTATCTGATCTAACTGGGCTAAACGAGTTCGATCGGGTTGTCGGTACCTATTCGATATACCCGAACTAAATCGAATTTAATCGAAACCAACGAACACCAATCGATTTGTAGGGTTCTTATTTATTTGAGATTTTATCTTTTTCAAGGTCCTTTTTCATTTTTGTTTTTTTTATGCGTTACATGAAATAAACTTGTTTAAAAAAAAATTTAACCATAACTACTCGACAGTTTATTTCTGTGGAAGTCGCCGTGGCTAACTTCGCTGGCTCTCCTCACTCTAACGATAGTCTTCTTTGTATTGCACAACGTACCGTTGAGATATATCTTGTTGGCTTGGGGTATAAGAAAGTTCTCAAGACGACTCTTTGATCCTAGCTACGTTGATGTCAATGAGATATATGAGTTTATAAACAGGCTACCTTCGGATAATGACCTAGTTAGTGTGTGTGTGTGTGTGTGTCTGTGTATGTCTCTCTCTCTCTTTCTTTCTCTCTCTTTCTTTCTCTCTCTCTCTTTCTTCCTCTCTTTCTCTGTCTCTCTGTACGTGTGTGTGTGTGTGTGTGGGTGTCTCTCTCTCTCTCTCTCTTTCTCTCTCTCTCTCTCTCTGTGTATGTGTGTGTATGCGTGCGCGTGTGTGCGTGTGTGTGTAGCAGAGCTCTCTATGTGTAGTAGTGTAGTATATGATAGCAGTAACACTTTCTAATTACAATAATAATCATACTCTCCGTGTAGATATTTTACAAAGAACTGCCAGTTGAATACCCTCTCAAAAAGTCGGACAGCAGATACAAATAATAATTAATAATAAATAATAATGATAATAATGATAATAATAATAATAATAATAATAATAGTGGTGGCGATGATGATGAGATTAAAGTTCCCATATTAATATCTTTTTGATGTATTTTGAAGAGTTGGACTATCAAACTGTCAACTGAGACTTGTTTAAAAATATTTCATATTTCGTTCGCACACTTTTTAAAATATTATATATCTGGCCTTGGTACACACACACACACCACACACACCACACACACACACGCACACACACACACACACACACACAGTACATACATACACAAGTACATACACATATACTCACACACACACGCTCATAGAGTATTATATTATAATAATTTTCTATATATAGTTAAGTGCCTTATAGTTATTATTGCTATTAACTTATTTTTAAACTTTTCGTCTTCTAAATTTAGAATGAGCTTAACTGCTATAATTAAACTTTAGATAAGCTTTTGAGATAATAATAATAAAGTCATTTGGCGATAAACTAATCAGTATAAAGTGTTTGTCCTTTGATAAATTACAATACAATATACAATACAATTCAATACAAAACTGTACAACCCAATACAATACAAAACTGTACACCCCAATACAATACAATACAAAACTGTACAACCCAATACAATATAATACAAAACTGTACAACCCAATACAATACAAAACTGTACAACCCAATACAATACGATACGTCGTGGTGTTTCGTGATAGCATCTTGGTATAAGTTTGTATCTAGAGTTAAATATGTAAATTTAAAATTTGTTTTCTCCTACTAAAACAATTAATCTTTATTGCTAATATCACCACACAATTGATAATTTACTTATATATAGCTTTCGTAAATCACAAATAATTATTAAACAATTAAACAAAAGTAATTAAAAATTAATAACTAACCCAGGTTTGCTAGAAGAAGGGGAAAATATATAAAGAGTGAATGAAAGCTAGGTAGAAAAAGGGAAAGATACAGAAGAGAAAGAGAGAGAGAGAGAGTTATCTAACACAGGTAAAATAACCAAGGCATCTTATAGTTAAGTAGCGCTAAAACATTTTGTTATTCTCATTATCACAACTTAAGTCCACTTTTAAATCACATATGATTTTCAAATTCGATCAAAGTCATTGTATAAGCAGACGTTTAGTATAAATATGAAAAGTTTAATAATTTTGAATCGTTTTTAACATCTACTACTATAGTAATGGCGAAAAACAATATGCCAGTTGTTTCATTTTTATTTACACTAATCGTGGTAGTTTTCCTGTTTTCACATTCCGTGCATTGCAATAGGAACAGAAATTATGCTGCGTCGTCATTTTTATCATCGTACGATGCGCAAGAGGTCGGATTAAGCAAAGGTTCTCCATGGCCCCTTCCGAGAATATTCCAGCCGTCATCTGAAATTTATTTTTTAGATAAATTGAAATTTGAATTTGTCCCCAGGAGCTATAAATGTGATCTCATGATAGATGCATTCAACAGATACTACAAACTCATATTTGATTTGAATGATGTATCTTCTGCTAACAGTCCTAATTCTCGTTTGATTTTTAAAAGTCACAAAATCAGGAATGAGCAGATGTCTTCATACAATAATATATTAAATGTCATTTTGATGAACCCATGTGAAAATGCCATTACTCTGAAGTCAGATGAGTCATGTATGTATGATGGATTTTAAGATTTTCATGGCATTTTGCAATTTTTGATTAATTTATTTATATTTTTTTTTTATACAATTAAAATGATTATGATCACAAATAATAATCCTCATAACTTTGAACATAGATGTGCTAAATGTCGATACCAAAAATTCCTACCTAGAAGCTAAAAGCATTTGGGGAATATTGAGAGGTCTTGAGACATTTAGTCAATTAGTGTATGTTCAAAACAGTCAGGTGAACCATTATTCTTTGAAATGATAACATTTTTTAATAATGACACTAACAATAATAATAATATTATTATTATTATTTAACAATAAAAATAATATTATTATTTTTTTCCCAAAGTTTGCTGTAAACAGAACATACATCAAAGATCAACCTAGGTTTTCATGGCGTGGTGTTCTGCTAGATTCGTCCAGGCATTTCTTACCAGTCCAAACCATCCTGAAATTTCTTGTTTGGAATTATTATTATTTGACATTATTATTTTTATTATTATCATTATTTATTATTATTATTTATTTATCATCGAGGATGCCATGGCTTACAATAAGATGAACGTGTTCCATTGGCACATAGTCGATGACCAGTCATTTCCATTCCAGAGTGTGTTCCCTAGACTTAGTCAGATGGTTATTATTATTATTGTTGTTGTTTTAATCATTACTAAAAGTATTTTTATAAATTATTTTTACTAATTTTTACTTATTGTTAGCAATTGAACTTTATACCTGCTTATTCTCATATACAAAATTACTTTCTCTTAAACTTTTTCTCTTTCTCTCTCTCTCTCTCACACACACACACACACATATATTATTATACCTCACATTTTTTTCTTTTGGAATGACTCAACTTTAAAAAGAATCTCTAATTCAATTTTTTATTTGTTAAATATTTTTTACTCACCCATCACTATTTTTCCTCAGGGTGCCTACAGACCGTACACTCATGTTTACTCTCGACAGGACGTTGCTCAAATTCTCGAGTATGCCAGAGTTAGGGGAGTTAGGGTAGTCCCTGAGTTTGATACCCCAGGTTGGTTGACTGATTTGGAGAGGAGGTCCAGATAGAAAGTTTTTTTTTCTATTTGTTTAGTTATAGTATTTTTTTCATGTCAACTGTTTTCGTCAATTTGTTGAGTTTTTACTTTTTAATATTTCATAATCCAAACCCTGGATTATTACTACTCAAGGTCAGCCTACCTATTTAAAACATTTAAACTTTCAAGGTCACACGCAGTCTTGGGTAAGGGTCAGATGTACTTGCTGACGCAATGTTTCTCAGGGAACCAACCAAATGGCAACTTCGGGCCTATTGACCCATCGAGGAATGAAAATTTCAACTTTTTACAAGAATTTTTTAAAGACGTTGCTTCGGCATTCCCTGACAGTTACATGCACTTGGGTGGAGATGAAGTTGATTTTAAATGCTGGTTAGTGGGCTGGTCGCTTCATTACTTGATTGGCTGGCTGGTTGATTTGTTGGTTAGTTGGTTAGTTGGTTGGTTGGCTGCTACTACTACTACTACTACTACTACTACTACTACTACTACTACTACTACTACTACTACTACTACTACTATTAATTATAATAATAATAATTATTATTATTCAGGGCAAGCAACCCCGGTATTTTCAAGTTCAGAAATGATATAACCTTTGGAGAGATTTCACCAAAACTGGAGAATTATTCCATTCAAAGGTCCTCATTCATTCATTCATTAATTCATTCATTCATTCATCATTTCTTCCATTATTTATTTAATCCATTCATTCACTCTCCAATTCATTCATTCATTCATTAATTCTTTCATTCATTATTCATTCATTCACTCATCCAATTCACTCATCCATTCACTCATTCATTATTATTAAATTATTTTATTATAGTTTGATGAACGTGACCAGTCATCTGAAGAGGGGATATGTTGTCTGGCAAGAAGTTTTCCAGCATGGCGTTCAGGCATATTTTACAATTTTAAAAAACTGATTCCTTTTTGTTGTTGTTGTTGTTGTTCTTGATTTTGCTGTTGAAGATGTTGGTTGATGTTGTTGTTTAGTTGTTGCTGTTGAAGAGTGTTGCGTTTGCTCATAAGGTCGTTTTCCAAATTTAAAATTTAGGTTACTAAAGATACTATAATCCAAGTCTGGATGGGAGGAAACGAGAAAGAAGTGATGGCCAATGTGACGAAGGCCGGCCTACAAGCCTTAATTTCGTCGCCCTGGTACCTCGACTACGTCTCGTACGGAACCATCTGGAAGAATTATTATAATTACGAACCCCTTAATTTTACTGGTTGGTTGGCTGGTTGGTTGGTCGGTTGGCTGGTTGGTTGGCTGGTTGGTTGGTTGGTTGGCTGGCTGGTTGGTTTGCTGGCTGGTTGGCTGATTGATTTGGATTCGTTGGTTGGTAATTTTGGTTAATTATCATTATTATTTTACTTTTTATTATTCTTGTTGTTAGGCAACGCCCAGCAGAAGTCTTTGGTACTTGGAGGCGAGGCTTGCTTGTGGGGTGAATACGTCGACTCCACCAATGTACACTCGAGATTGTGGTCAGTCAGTTTAGTTTGTCTGCTTTTTGATTGGTCCAAATTGTCATGTGTTAGTTTTCTTTTCGTAGCAGCCTTGAAATTTCTTTGTCAATAGTAGGGGTGTGATTTCAATTCCGTCTAACTCGATTAACCAACCAATCATATTCCAGTGAACTCTATTTTCAGCCAATCATATTCTAGCAAACTCGAATGTCAGCCAATCATATTCCAATAAAACTATTTGTAACCAATCAATTTGCAGGCCCAGTGCAAGTGCAGTGGCGGAGAGGTTATGGAGTGACGAATCAGTGAGAGACATTGCTGATGCTGACAGGAGATTAAGAGAACACAGATGTCGCATGCTTAGGTCTGTGTACACAATCTCTGCACTCACACACACACACACACACACACACACACACACACACACACACACACACACACACACACACACACACACGTACACACATACATACATACATACATACATACATACACGTACATACATACACACATACTCATACATACATACATACACACACACGCATACATACACTCATACATACATACATGCATACATACATACAATCTCTACTGTACACTTACACATACGTACATACTTGTGATTTTTATACTGAAACATATATACACATTCGTACGTACATACGTGCGATTAGTATATACTATTATATAGGTACACACACATACATACACCTACACACACACACACTCATATACAGAAGAGGAATCATGGCTGAACCCGGGACAGGTCCAGGATTTTGTGAAGAAGAAATGGTTCTCTAATGACAATAATAATAAATGAATAATAATATTCAATGTTTAAATATCTTTGGCGAATATTTTTTAATTGTACCAATTTTATATTGATATTTTTTACACTGTCATTTCATTTTCGAATTATTATTCTCTTACCGGTGTTGTTGATACTTCATAAGCAATCTCTTCCGATTTGAAATTGTGAATTCGAAAGATGTTACCGTTGTCTAACTCTTTCCTAACATTTGAGTCCAAAAACAATCGGGCCATTATACTCGCTGGATTAGATAAGTTTTTACGCGAATTATGACGTATGTATGACGTCACGGTTGGATCTAATTCTGGTAAAGTTTATAAGATGTAGAGAAAAACAATAGAGCAGTAACCATGGAGTAACGAGAATTCAGATACTAATCCAGTTTTTAATAATGTAATATCAATCAACCTTCGTTTAGCATCCAGAGACTCAGTTCCCCGAGGTAGGACGTTGTTTTTTTCTAATTAATGCTATTATAATTATATTATTGTGGTTTTTAATAATGTAAGGTTAATTTTTAAGAACGTGATGTTGTTTTGGACCGGATTTGATTGCGAGATCGAACGACGGAGTCAGTAACTGGTTTGTTTGTTTTTAAAGGACTATAATGACACGCTATTTCTGCTACTACATCAACAGCAGCAGCAGCAACAACCACCACAACGACAACATTCATATGTGAATTCACAAGTGAGTGAATGAATGGATGATAATACAAACATTATTAGTGATGTTGAAAGTTACGTGTGTAACTGAATATTTATTAACTGAAACTAAACAATAAGAAAATTAATACAAAATCTAACAACCCGATATATAAATATTTATACAGATTCATAGAGCTACAAACATATCTGTAGAATCTGAATAGATTGTATAGGAATGATAAGACGACGTGTATGTGTGTACATAACTGTGAGTGAACGTGTGTGTGTATGTACGTACGTGTGTGTTGTGTGCGTGTGTGTGAGTGAGATAACGATCATTATAAGTATATTATAAACAGATTTAAATCATTCAAAATCGTAGATGACTGATTTAGAAGCAAAGGTTTTTAGACAAGTGCAATCGTGAAGAATGTTTATTAGATTAAGAAGCGAGTGACAAACAGCTCTGCAAGGATTTAAACCATCATGATATATTTGTCTGTTTAACTAATATGAATAAATAAATAAGTATAAAAATATGTGTGTGTGTACGCGCGTGCGTGTGTGTGTGTGTATGTACGCGCGTGCGTGCGTGTGTGTGTATGTACGTGCGTATGTGAGTGTGTGTGTGTGCGTGTGTGTGTCAACCCATTGACAGCAATATCACCAAGATGAATGGAAAACAACAATAACAATAGTAATAACAAAAATAATAATAAAGACAAAAGTATTGTAGTGATATCATAGGCGCTCATATCACAATATATCTCAACGGTGATAGTGATAGTAAGAAGAAATTAGGCAATCAGTCATTCATTCGTTCTTTCATTCATTCGTTCGTTCGTTCATTCGTTCGTTCATTCATTCGTTCATTCATTTATTCGTTTATTTACTCATTCAATCGTTCATTAGGCCTGAGGATTAAAGTTCATGAGTTTCAAATCCGACTCTACCATTTCTTTGACGAGCATCTGAATGAATGATTGAATGAATGAATGAATGAATGAATGAATGAATGAATGAATGAATGAATGAATGAATGAATGAATGAATGAATGAATGGATTAATTAATGAATGGATAGATGGATGGAAAAAAGAACGAACGAATGAATTAACAAATCAGTGAATCAATAGACAAATGAATAGAAGATAAATAAACAAATAAATGGACGAATGAATGAGTGGATAGATAGATGGATGAATAAACAAACGAATGAATGGTTGTCTGGATGCATGAATGAATGAATGAACGAATGGACAGACGAGAGGATGAATGCGGAGATGAATGAATGAACATAACAGGAAACTGAACTAACGTCAAAGTTATATCTCGGTTTCCATCCTAACTGAGTTTTAGCTTTAGTACAATCTCCTAACAATGTTTCCTAACAAATAATAATTGAAATTTTCAGTTTTTTCAATTCAATAATAATAATAATAATATTTATAATAATTATTACCATAATAATTATGAAAATGAATAATTACTACTCACAACTTCGGTCGGCCTATAATATTTGGGGTTAATTTTAACCCTCACAACCCCAGTTCTCTTATCCTTGCCCACTTCATTTATTCCTGAACCCTCCCAACTGCAATGATGATGATGATTGTGACGAAGATGATGATGATGATTGTGACGATGATGATGATGATGATTGTGACGATGATGATGATGATGATTGTGACGATGATGATGATGATGATGATTGTGACGATGATGATGATGATGATTGTGACGATGATGATGATGATGATTGTGACGATGATGATGATGATTGTGACGACGATGATGATGATGATTGTGACGATGATGATGATGATTGTGACGATGATGATGATGATTGTGACGATGATGATGATGATGATTTCGATGACGCGAAAATGTCAATGGTCATGGAAACAAGCAAACAAACAAACATGCAAGCACACATATGCACACATACACACGCACGCACACATACACGCATACACACAGCGACTAACACAATATCGACGCCGACTTCCTTGAAGGCGGCTACCACAAACTTCCTGACTTTGTGCGTCTCACCTGTCGAGATTACGAAATCGTCCGGCTCTTTCGTCTGCAACATCATCCACATTGCCTGGTTCAATGATTGGTTGGTGGCTTGATTGATTGATTGATTGGTTGGTGGCTTGATTGATTGGTTGGTGGCTTGATTGATTGATTGATTAGCTGGTGGCTTGATTGATTGGTTGGTGGCTTGATTGGTTGGTGGGTTGATTGGTGAGACGACTGATTAATATGTAGAGAAGTAGATTAGATGATTAAGAAGTTGAATGACTAGCTAGCTGGTTGATTCAATGATTTTATAAAATACCAAATGATGGTTCGATCGGGCAGCTGAGTGAATGAATGACTAACACACACACGTACACACACACACACACACACACGTACACACACACACGTACACACACACACACACTTCGACGTAATCCTTAGCATGTCCCCAATCTCTTTCGGCATCGATGTTACCAAGTTCGAGAATTTCTTGCTGGCCTAAATGGATCTTCGCGACAGCTCTCGTAATTTTTCTCGTCACAAATGTCTCGCCTTGTATGTGTGTGTGTGTGTACGTGTGTGTGTGTGTGTGTGTATACGTGTGTGTGTATGTGTGTGAATACGTGTGTAAGTGTGTATGTGTGTACGTGTGTGTATACGTGTGAATACGTATGTGTGAATACGTGTGTGTGTGTGTGTGTGTGTGTGTGTGTGTGTGTGTGTGTGTGTACGTAAGTTTTGAAAGAAATTAATAATTAATATAACGACAAAACCAATGCAAGCACATTTTTGTCAATATTTCAACATTATCGTATTACCATGATCCCTGTTAGCAACATTACTTAGAAATAAATATAATTTAAAAAATGAAAGAATGAATGAATGAGTGAATGAATGGATGAATGAATGAATGAATGAGTGAATGAATGGATGAATGAATGAATGAACAGTTTGAAAGATTTAAATCCATGCAAGCAGTCTCAAAACTGAAATCAATAAAAACTTCAAATCACTACATACAATCCATGCAAAAATTATGTATAAATTATCATAAATTATGCGCGTAAACTGCGCATATATAATCATAATCAATCGTAATTATAATATTATAATTAATCGTAATTATAATATCATAATTAAACCTCTCCTCGGACTTTCGTGATTAAATAGAATGCCATTGCATGCAAACATATTATAGGCCTCTCTATAATTCTTTATTATCCAATAAGAATACAATTTAGCTACACCTACGGCATGCATAAATTATGATAATTAAAGTATGAAATAATAACAATAATTAAAATATAAAATAATAATTAAGATATTGATGATGATCTGGATGATGATGATTAATACGATGATGATGATGATTAATACGATGATGATGATGAATAATACGATGATGATGATGATGATTAATACGATGATGAGTATGTATGCGAGTGATGACGTCACACATCAATCAGAGTGGCGATAACCAAAAACACAAAAGAAAAATACAAACTTAGAACAAAAACATGCACGTTAAAAAAGTTATATTATGATCGACTCATTACACGCACACAGATATATCTAGAGAGAGAGAGGAGGTGAGAGACAAAGAAAGAAAGAGAGAGTGAGAGATTAAGCGCATATAATTTGTGTGCTTGTGTGTGTGTGTAAGCGTGTGTGTGTGTGTTTGTGCGTGTGATGTCTATAAGAAAAAAACAAATGATAAACCTGGCAATCTCATTCCCTTAAAATCAAATAGACAAAAGCATGCAAACATTTACAAATCAATTAGGTAATCAATAAGGACACGAACACACGCACACACACACGCACACACACACGCACGCACACAAACACGTACGCATACACGCTCACACACACGCACACACACACGCAGGCACACCTCTTCTTGGACTTTCGTGATTAAACAAAATGCCATTACAGGCAAATATGCTATAGGCCTCTCTATAATTTTTAACCATCCAGAAAGCATAGAGCTTAGCCACACCTGGAAGAAGTATTTCATTCATATTCGTTCTTCCATTATTTCATTGTTTTAATTTATTTATTTATCTCCAGTTTTACTCATTATTCTCTTAAGTATTTCATTTTTATTTGTGGCAAATGTACCATTAACTGAACAAAAAAACCGCAATTCTAAATATTAAAATAATAAAATCCATGTTCTTTGCGGAAAAAAAGAGAGAATGAGAGAGAGAGAGAAAGAGAAAAAGAACAATGACCCCAAAAGACAGCAAATAAATAATTTGCTAAATAATAATAAATTGAAGACAACCGTATGGTGATCTAGGATAAAATGGCGTCGTCTCTTTCTGCGGAATTTCCTGAACCTTTCCGAACATTTCACTGGTCGAGGCCTGGTAGAAACGAACGCTATTGGTCAGGCCACACGTTCGAATGGCGTCCAATAGCCTTAGAGTACCAAGAGCGTCAACGTTTGCTGTATATTCACTCAATTCGAATGAAACCTTTGTGTTTGTGTTTGTTTGTGTGCGTGTTTTGCCTGTGTGTGTGTCTGTGTGAGAGCGTTTGTGTGTTTATTTATCCTTATATTTATCCATATGTTTGTTCATTCATTTATTAATTCATTCATTCATCCATTCGTTTGTTCATTTTTTCTTTCAGTCAATCCAACGCAGATCTTAACATGACTCTTTGCTACTACTGCTAAACCAAACATCCATCTGTCCATTCATTCATCCATCCATCTATTCATTCATTCATTCCTTTACACAAACCTTAACATGGCTCTGAGCCGCCAGATTGTATATTTCAGTTGGCTTGACTTCGGCAATGATCTTAACTAGGCATGAACTGTCAGTCATATCTCCATAGTGCAACTTGAATTTTGCTGTTTTGGGCATGAATGAATAAATGAATGAATGAATGAATGAATGTATGCATGAATGAATGACCGAATTAATTCATTCAATGATTCATTCATTCAATACCTCCTTCTGAATGAGACATCGGGTGCTCGTAAAGATGTTCAATACGATGTGTGTTGAATGTACTGGCCCGCCTAATTATACCATGCACCTTAATTAAAATTATAGTCATAATTATCCTTATATTTATAACAATAAGCATAATTACTATTAATATTATGAATTAAAAAAGAATAAATGGATGGAAAGATGCATAACTGAGAGATGAATGAATAAATTACTAAAAATGATACTTTTTATTATCAGTATTGCTATAAAGTTTATAATAATATTAATAAATTATGATTTTATTAAATTATAATTATTATTATGAATTCATAATTTAAATCTATCTGACTTGGTAGCCCTTCTGTAGTAGAAACTCAGCTAAATAAGATCCATCCTATCCAATTTAAAAGTGTATGTCGTATGACATTGATTCATTAATTAATCACTATTTATTAATTAATTAATATAATGTTAATTATTAATAACAAATTAATTAATTAAACTAGTTAAAACTAAATTACTAAACAAATTTAATTATTTAAAAATAAAAAAGTAGGTAGCTAACTATAATTTAACCCCCATCACGTCTTATTGAAATAAAAATTATAATCTTAGGACATGTATGATGATAAATGTATGATCGTCCCCAACAAAAAAAAACTAATTCCAATTTCTTACCTGGCCAGTGATTCCCGTAATTAGTGCAATTTTGCCACGGTCGCCAGAGCTTTTGATTTCGGCAGAAGAGGAACATATGCCGCTTTCATTATTAGCAGACGCCATTTTCTAGTAAAAATTTTTTATTTTAATAAATAAAGATATAAATAACTAGATAATAAAAAAAACTTTTTATTAACTATTTTACAAAATTTAAATGCCACGTGTATGTAAACAAAAACAGTGTTGCCCTGGTGCAAAATTTGAAAATACTAAAAGTGAACTTGGCTAGAAGTAAAATTCGGACTCCCACATAAATGACATACTCACACATACAAACACACACACACGCGTACATATATAAACACACACATACACACTCACAAACGTACGCACAAATACACGCACACACAAACATACAATGGAAAAAGGTCTGTGTGGTTGACACCTCGGAAACACAACATTGACTTTCTACTAACATTGAGCTGCAACATTAACCTCATCAACAACGTCATCGTCAACAACAACAGCAGCAGCAACAACAACAACAACAGCAACGACAGCAATTTTAGCGGAAAAGCAAGCAATCCAGAAAAAAATGATTCAAACATTTAAAACCACCATCGCCATCATCTCTGTCACCATCACCATCGTCATAATCATCATCTTCATGGTGGTTATCATCGTCGTCATCATCATCAACGAACTATAATGGACATTTTCGCTGGCTTGCAGTTTTCAGCGCTTGTGTATACGTTAATACATACAAACAACCCGTTTGCATACATTCAAACAAACCAACATTCTTACATACATGCACACACATACACATGCATACATACACACATACATACACATACATACATACACACATACATACACGGAGAAAAATATATAGGTACGCCTGTATATTCAACTATGTCCAAGCTTTGCCTTGCACAAAAATGTCGTTTGAATGCATGAATACAAACATCAGTTGATACATGTATGTATATATGTATGTATGAATGTATATATATATATACATTCATACAAATGAATGTATATATATATATATATATGTATGGTCATCATCTTTATGTTTTTGTATACAGGTATGTACAAAATCTGGGTCTTGCGTACATTGCTTCTCGTGTGTGCAAAGCAATGGAAGCAAAAAATTAAAAAATGTATGTATGTATGCATGTATGTATGTATGGACGCATGTGTGTGTGTGTGTGTGTGTTTGTGTGTGTATGTATATGAATTCGCATACAAAGTACATGTTTAATAATGACCAATTATAATGAATGAATACAAGATTGTATGTATAACTGTATGTGTGTTTATACGAATGTTGGTATGTGTGTACGTGTGTGTATGTTGATATATATGTGTGTGTGTCTGTGTACGTACGTACACACGCAATATGCACAAGATAAACAATGCCTACAGCTTTGTATTAAATTTTGGATTTAGCCTATGCATTGCTGTCAAATAAAACCTTTTTTCTGTTTTCGGGTGTTTAAAATCAATTTCAAGACAATTTAAATAGTCATAATAATAATATTTATTATTTTATTGTTGTTGTTATTATTATTATTATGAGTTTATTATTATTATTATTATTGTTATCTAAAAGTTTTGATGGAATAGTATTTTCGTTAACAACAACAACTACAACAACATCAACAACAACATCAACAACTACAACAAAATCAACAGCAAGGACAGCAACAACGAAAAATTATTTCAGATCTCACTCAGCAACGACAAACCGCAAATAATAATCAATTCTAAGCGTTCGTTGAACATAGGTATGGACGACTACAACCGCTTACAAAGACAAGCTTATAACTCCTGGAGATACCCTCCGCAAAACACCTATCACCCCCCTATTCTACGCCCTCAACTACCTCCTCAACCACCCCCTCAACTAACTCCTCAACCACCCAACCAACAAACACTCAGAGAGGACAACGTACTGAGTATAAACGCCCAGATTATGATTCGAGATGCTTCAAAGGGGGGTTGGGTCCCTCGGGGTTGCGGGGGAATAAGCACCATTTTTTTCTGTAAGGTCCTTAAAGTGGTTAGCGAGAAGCATCTGGTCGAGTTTTATATCCGCTGTGTAAGGGACTCGGATAAAAAAGTTAGATGGGGTTTTTTCTCTGTTGCTTGCAATTTTTTGAGTGACTGTAGTTGGATTGAACGAAACGTTGAATGTGTGTGTGTGTGTGTGTGTGTGTGTGTGTGAATGAACGAACGAACGAACGAAAGAATGAATGAATGAACGAATGAATGAACGAACGAACGAATGAATGAACGAACGAATAAGCAAATAAGTGATTGAAAAGCTAAACGAAAATTCATTTCGTCCTCAGACTATCCTAAATAGCGAGATAAAAAGAGACTTTTCCTACACGATAGCCAATCCGACATTTTACCATTGGGAGTGCGAAGACGGAGGCAAATTTGGTTTGACCTTTCAAAGTTCAAAGGTTGCCAAACTTTTTGAGAAAAATGTTAAAAAAATTATTGATGCTCTGAAGCACGGTTAGGACTTTATAGTTATTTATTAATTCGATAATTCATCGATTCATTTTTCATTCATTCATTCATTCATTCATTCATTCATTTATTCATTCATTCATTCATTCATTCATTCATTCATTTATTCATTTATTCATTCATTCATTTCATTTATTCAGTTCATTCAGTCAGTTAGTCCGTTAGCCATTCATTCATTTCCTCATTCACTCATTTATTCGTTCTATCAGGAGGTTTTGAACATATGAACAAACTATTCAAAGTTGAAGATATAGAACAACATTCACAGGTTTTTTTTTAATTATTATTTGGTAAATAATAAAAATAATATTGATAATAATATTAATAATAATAATAATATAATTGATAATAATAAATACTTATGAATCGTTGTTTCATCACACAGAAAGCCAAACTACACTTAGAGAGAATAGGCAGTCTATCGAAGCAAGAGGAAAGTACAGCCTCTACATCGATGAGTTCCCCGTCACCAATATCTCGGTCCTCTCCCCACACATCTTCTTCTCACTTTCCTCCATCATCCTCTTCTCTCACTCCATCTCAATCATCATCATCATCTCACTCATTTCATTCTCAATCCATCTTTCAACACCTCAATGCCCACTCTTCCATATCCCACTTCATCCCAATTGCAACTTCCTTGCAATCCTCCTCACTCCCGTACACTCACGAACTTCCTGATCCGCATCCGCACCCTTACTTCTCAGGGCGGTCCATCATTCGACTTCCGTACGTTCATTTGCACCCCTACCAACCACTTTTGCCCCCGAGGGAACTAATTCGTCGCCCCATTCCCCGTCGCCCACTTCCTCAACCCACTCCCTCGGCCACTCAATCCAACCCCTCACCACCCTTATCAACATCTCACCTTGTTAGTTCACTGCTTTACGAGTCGAATGTTGCAAGTTTCAAACCGCGACAATCTCGAAAAGAGAGAGATAGGGAGGATAAAAAGAAAGTGGCGGACGATGGGACGTGTGTTAAATCAGCAGCAGCAGCAGTAGCGTCACCGTCGTCATCGCGGTCGTCGTCGTCAACTTCGTCACCGTCGTTATCATTGTCGGATAGCGAGGTCAATCGAGACACCGAGAAGTATCGACTAAGGAGGAAACAGAAGCAACAACATCAACAAGTATTACAAGAACGTAGACAAAGAAAACATCAGCAGCTACGACAACAGCAGCAGCAACAACGACAACAGATCTTGCAGCAGCAGCAGCAACAACAACAAAAACAGATACTGTCACCACTGAAAGAACAATGCCCGTATCGTTTTGCATTTAAATCCTTCACTGATCTTAAAACTGTAACAAAATACAACAACAACGACAGCAACAACAGTAGCAGCAGCAACAACAACAGCAACAATAACAGCAGCAGCAACAACAACAACAGCAACAACAACAACAACAGCAACAACAACAACAACAACAGCAGCAACATCGTTGACAGCAGCAACAAAATTGTCGATACTAACCTTACTGAACCGGTAGGCTCATTATCTCTTAGTATTCCGAACTTCAAACTTTTCTTAAACAACAACAACAACAACATTAATAATAATATTAATAATATTAATAATAATATTAATCACAACAGCAACAATAGTAACAACAACAACAATTGCTGCAATAACAATATGAATAACAACAACAACTTGAAACCGTCGAGCTCAAAAAGGGAACTTAAAAAACCAGCACTTATTCCGCCAACAAGATCAACCCATGTTATTAACAACAACAACAACAACAACAACAACAACAACAACAACAACAACAACAACAACGATAAAGACAACAAAACCAAAAATGATGATACCGACATCAGAGATGCTGACGACGTCGCCGCCGATGCTTCTGCTGACGATGGCGACAGAAACGACGAAAATGATGATGATGATAAAAAACAAAATGAAGATCTTGATAATGATGCTGATGACGATCGTAAAATAAGCTACGTGGATTTTGAGTCGCACAGCTACAACTACCCCTACCGAGTTCACCGTTCGGCTGATTCGAAACTAGCTGTTGAGAAAATTGTCAAAAGCGCCAACGACATAGCCAGCATAAAATACAACGACTACATCCTGAACGCCAAACCACCGTCGTCTTTGTCGTCGTCTTCCTCATCTAGGACAGCCAAAACAACAACGAAAATGTCATTCAGGCCTTTTCTAACGTTCAACAGCAAGCAGCAGCAACAACAATTGCAACAACACCAACAACAATTGCAGCAACATCAACAACAATTGCAGCAGCACCAACAACAACTGCATCAACAACATCAAATATCCGTCCTCAAAATGCCTTCCACTATTTCCCTGCCGATCGTTGGCGGGCTAAAATACAAAACAACGCCTTCTTATTTCAGCCTCAACCAATCACAGTGCCAGGATTTAAAATCTCGAAAATTTCTGGCCGAGAGTTTGAACAAAAGGCGGTGCGTGCACTGCAAAAAATTGTTTCTACCTCAAGAAAATAGACGAGGAATATGTGAGGAAGCTCCGGATTGGTGGATGAGCTGCATAGAGGGCGTGTCCTGCTGTTGCTGCGCCAACGCTATCGTGTACCATTGTTTCAAAAATGACGACGAAGATGGCGATGATGATGGTGGGAAAAATAATGGAGCGAATAAAAAAAAGGAGGAATCAAATTTTGACCCACGTATGCGTCAGAAAGAATATGGATCTACATCGGACCGTCTGGCAAACGACGATGACGTCATAAGCAACAACAACAACAACAACATCAACAACGGAAGTAGTGCAAACAATAGTTGCATGAAATGTAAATTATGCAGGATGAAAAGTTTCAAGTTTATAAAACGCTGGAGTTTATTAGCTTGTATGTCGATCTGCCTGCCATGTTTCTGCTGCTACCTGCCACTGCTGGCTTGCCACAAATGCGCGTCTCGATGTGGACTGGCCGGTGGTAGACATGACGATAGAGACGGTTTGTGAAGCCGGTAGGTTCGCTACTCCCTGATTGGCTGTCTGATGATTAGTTGGTTGGTTGTTTTTTAGTGAGGCCTTTGTTGTTTCCTTCATTGGTTGGTTGGTTGGTGAATTGAATGGTTGGTTTGTTGTTTGGTTGATTAAAGACAGTAAATCGTCTTCGATAGAATCATATTTTTGTTGAATAAATTGATTTTTTTAAATACAAATCTTGATTTATAGTAAGTTTATTAGTTAGGATGTTGTGTATTATTACTACAAAAGTGTGCGCGCTATATAAATGTGCGCGTTTTCACGTGTGTGTGTGTCTATGTGTGTTTGTCGTAAGAATGTGAATAATGTACAGGCATTACATGTGAGTGTGTGTTATAAAAGTGTGTATTTGAGAATTTAGTGAATTTGGCCGAATGAAATTTGCATGTGTGTGTGTGTGTGTTTGTCCGTGTGTGTGTTTGTTCGTGTTTGTCCGTGCGTGTCCAAATTACGAAATTTACAGGAAAGTGACGAGAAAACATTGTTTATAATTTTCATCAAACTTTTTGCTGTTGTGCGTTCTCCTAGCTTACGTGTGTAAGTTTAACTTTCCATTTACAAATTAGGCATAATTTATTTAAACTTTTAAACGTTTCAAAGTACTTTTTACGAATAATTTATATGAAATAATTAATTAAACCTATAAATAAATAAATAATAACCGACCACGTAAAATTCATTTTTTTTTAATTCATTGCATTTTTTCAACAGTATTTTGTATTAAAACAATAATACAGGTATACGTGATAGTATACGTTCACAAATTATATTTATATTTGAAAATAAAATCATTCATACAGTCAATCAATCTATCAATCAAATCATTCGTTCAATCATTCTTACAATCAATCTATCAAATCATTCATTCTTACAATCAATAATCAATCAGACCATTCTTTCAATCGTCCCTTCAATCAATTTATCCAATCATTCCTACAATCCTTCAATCAATCCATCGAATCATTTATCCAATCAATCCTACAATCAATCTATCAGATCATTCATCCAATCAATCAAGAGATCGATTTAATAAATAAATCATACATTCGTACTCACCACATTCTTCCATAGGTACTTACATTGGTTCCAAAAATGTGCAGTATTAATTTTTTAATATATATATATATATATTATTAATTTATATTTGAAAATATAAATAATTATATAATTAATTAATTATTAATATATTAATTTTTTAATATATATATATATATATATATATATATATATATATGTGCAACTAATTTTCCCAAATAAAACCGATCAAACGCCGAAATTTGTATTCATTTATATATATCCATTTTAAAATAATGCTTCCATATCATGGGTCGGCAAACTAGACCTTGTTTGCCAAAAAAAAACCACCTTTGGCCACAAATCTTAAAAAATTCTCCCCCGGGTCGAAAAAATTTTCTATTTAAGTACATATGCGGCCCTTCAAAGGGTTAAATAGTTCTCAATGCGGCCCTCACAGCAAAATGTTTGCCCACCCCTGCTCTATATATACAATATACATCATGATAATAATAATAAGAAAAAGAAATTTCATTAACATTAATAATATATGTGCGTGTGTGTGCATATATGTGTGTGTGTGTCTGAGATTTATTCAGGTTGTTGTTGTTGTTGTTTTCTCTTCTTGACAAGCTCAGCAAGATACTTTACTCGCTGGAGACATTCATCCTGTTGTAATAAATTAGAATAATAATAATTATAATAACCATCATAATTTAATAATAATACTAATAAGAAGAAGAAATAGGAACAATGAAAATAATAATAAAGTATGAAAAACAACAGCACCGACAAAAGCAGAAAGTAACAGCAATCCAAGCTGTGAAAGTTAATTATTAATGGTGCTTGAATAAATTAGAAGCAAGAAAGAAATTATGATAATAGTAGTTGTAGCAGTAGCAGCAGCAGCAGCAGTAGTAGTAGTGATAGTAGAAGTAGTAGTGGCAGTAGTAGTGGTAGTAGCAGTAATACTTTTGTTTTCTCGGGGACTAATTCAGCTATTCTGCTCCACCTATCAGGTGCGTCTTTTGAGATTTGAACCATAGCAAGCTCCAACTGTTTTTGCTGTTGCTGGTTCCATATCGAAGATGTCGTTGTTGTGTTGGTTTGTTGTTGTTGTATTGATGTTGTTGTTGCGTTAGCTTGTTGTTGTTGTTGTAATGATGATGTTGTTGTTGGGGTGTTAGATTGTTGTTGTTGTTGTCTTGCAATCATTAACGTTCTATCAACGTTTTTGCTACAAGCTTCTGTTGGCCTCTTTGCAGTACCTGTGTTAATAATACTTTTATGGTTCGAATTTACTGTCTTTGAAGACGTTGTCGTTGTTGTTGTTGACGTTGATGTTGTTGTTGATGATGTCGTAGTCGTTCGGTCATTAGATCCACCGCCATCATCATTATCATTATCAACGACGGTCAATTCGACATTTTGCAGCAGCTGCTGTTCAATGACTCGCTTCGTTATTATTTTGTTATTCATTTCGGACATAGCCGGTTGACTGCTTGGTCTCAGTTTCTTACTCATGGACGTTACCTTTGAGTTTCCAATAATTTCAGCCTTATTATAACTATATATATATATATATATTTGATCATAATTAATGTTTATGTCGTTAATGTTGATGTGAGTAGTATTAGCAGTAGCAATAGTTGCAATGAAAGTTTCTTGAAATATAACACAGCTGTTTTAAAAAAAATTTGAAAAAAAAAAACATAAAAATGAACAAAGAGTCACATAAAAACAAAAAGGAAAAACTTATAAAACAAAAAAGTATGGAAGACCTCTTTTACAGGGCGGCCAACAAAGGCGGAAATTTTCTCCCACCTGTCCACAGTGCCGCCAGGGAATTTTGCAATCCCCTTCACTAGCATCTCAATGTCAAGGTCGGACCATTCAGACTTTCAGAGGAGAAAAATAAAACAAAGTTATTTATGATTTTTGATTGAGATTCGAAAAAGTAGGTAAACATGAGTAAAAAAAAGTAAAACAAATAAAAATGACAAAATTCCCCAACAAAGACATCAAAATTGCAAAAATAAAAAAAAACATCAGAAACATTTTTGTCATTTGACTCCAAAGAAGTAACATTCCCGTGACTCACACTACCACCATCATAATTTTCTCCATTATCATCAAAATTACGTTCTTCACAATTATTATTTGATAATTTTGTATAATTAAGGACATCCCCGGATGGCTCTGCCAGCTCATAAGTAAACTGACTTGTCTGTCTAGGTGGCCTCTTTTGCTTAAATTTTTCTGAAAACATTCAAAACAATTATGGAGTCACTTTCATGAAATTAATAAATGTAAAATTATAAAATAAAATAATAATTATAAACTATAATTATAAATTGTAATGATAAACTATAATAATAAAATATAAATATACGCTCACCATCGCCATCATCATCATCTCCAACATCACAGTCATATTCATCCGTCTGTGCTTTAGAGAACCATCTGGAATTTTTAACAATCTCGACGATCAGAGAGGCAAAATATGGAAGATTTTTAAAAAGATTCCAAACAGCTTTGAGGAATAAAAATGGCAGGAGATCTATGAGTTGTGGCTTTACAATTAAATGCTCAACTTCGGTGGGAAGAATTATCAAATCATTGTGGTCATCATTTGCATTTCTTTGCTTTCTTGCTTTCTTATCTTTCTTCTTTTTGGATCTAAATATCTCTTCCTAGACGAGGATGAAAATAATAAACAAAGAAAGTTGACTTTTATAATAATTCAAATGAAAAATTTTAAACTAGAATGTATCTCAAACAAAACATAAAACAAATTAAAAAAACTTTCCAGTTGAAATTCGAAGACTAAATCAAAAATCAGTATCTCTAAATATATAATAGATTATGATGCTAGTTTGTAATAATGATGACGATGCTGATGACGACGCTGATGATGATAATAATAATAATAATGGTAATAGTAATGATAATAATGATGATGATGATGATAGAAAATTTGAAAAAAAACTTCAAACCAATTCGAACTTCCTCTCCAGGTACATAGACCAGATGACCAGAAAATGTCCTACCGTTAGTATGATTGACATGAGGATCGATAACTCGACCAGGCCCATTTTTCTAACCCGCCTGTAATAATAAACAGGCTGTCTCCAGTCTGGCAGGCCGTTCACTAATATGTCATTGTACCTGTCATTGTCGAAATTAGGAAAAGATATAAAAATTTTTGAAATTGAAGCATTAAGACAAACTGATATAACATTGGGATTGGTGTAACATAAAACTGATATGACATAACGGATTATGATATTTTGGACATGAAAAAATACAGAATATAAATTTATAATAATAAATATTAAAAAATTTAATTAACTAATAAATTCATTCATTCATTATTTAATATAAAATGAATTTACTTACTTGAGTCTCATTTTTTCATCTTTCAAAACTTCATAGGCAGCCACAAGCTTAAAATTATTATTTTTTTAATAATTAATTAATTAATTAATTAATTAATTAATTAATACAATTTATTATTATAAAGACAGCAGTAAACAACATTAACAATTCAATAAATTGAAGCATTTTAACTAAATTTTCACAAATAATTAGTATTAAAATATTTTAAATTTAAATGAACAAGTTTAATTTAAAGTAATATTATAAACATTATTGTTAATAATATAATAATTATTATAAATATTATTTAGCCTAGATTTACTTTTCTGAATTGGTTTTCTGCGTCGGGGTCCTTATTCTTATCTGGATGTAGTTGGAGTGAGACTTTTCTATATGCTCTCCTTATTTCAGTTTGAGAAGCTGACTGAAATGAACAAAAATCATTGATTAATTGAATATGAAATGAATGAGTGAATGAATAAAATGAATAATTGACTGACAAGATAATTTTTATTTATTTTAGAAATTTACCTGGTCAACTTCCAAGAATTCATAAAAATTTCTGTTCACATCCTCAACAATGTCAAATAAGGATAAATCGTCTGAGTCCCAAGCCGAAATCGTCGAGAGCAAACAAAGCGTTATTAAAAAACACACTAACAAATAAGTAAAAAACATTTTAAATTACAATTTTTCAACATATAAATTTTGAGTGTTAGTAAACAGTGAGCGAATTTAGAGCAACCATGGTGGCAACCACAGACAAGATAAAGACTTAAAAAGGTTGTCAAGATAGCTTCATTTTCTGTTGATCTTTCAACAATTTTAATTAAATAATTATAGTTAAACGTAACAAAATTAAATTAAAAATAAATTTTTTAACAAAATATTTTATATATCATATTTTAAACAAAAAAATTACTATTTATTTGACGATTATTATCTATTTTGTGTTATTTACAACAGTCCGGTATGGTCTATGCTTGAACAGTTTTGAAAAGTAGATTCCATTTAAAGATTTTTTTTTTTCGTTTTTGTCCTGATTATTTGAAATTAGTGAAAAAATGACAGCCGCTGAATTAGAAAATGCCCTCGCGATCAAAGAAACGCAAAAAACTCAAGCGATGGAATTATTAGGAAATATTGGTACGTTACGTGCTTTACCGTTTCCTGACTCTTGCTTAGTCATTTTCGTCTTTTTTAAATTTAATTTAAATGAAATTTAGTAAATTTCGTTAAATTTATTTTACATTTTTTACAAAAATTTTATTAAAGTTAAAAGAGATATTAATGATCCGAACGATGATGTGATAAAAATAAAAGAGCAGGCAATCATTGAATTGGGAGATCTTTTTGCCAAAAGTGGAAAGGCAGATGGTTAATATTTTTGTTATTCTTATTATTATTATTATTGGTGTCATTGTTACAAATTTTCTTAATCACAGAATTATGGTCTATGATAAAGTTCACCAGGCCATTTTTGGCCCTGGTCAGTAAGGCAAAAGCAGCAAAGCTGGTTCGTAATCTAGTGGACAAGTTTTTGGATATGGAGGCCGGCACTGGAAAAGAGGTCATTCATTCAGCCTATTAATCACCCAATTAGTCATTCAAGCAAACAACCAATTACTAACTAAACAATCATATTTCATAATCATTTTCTTTATAATTAATTTATAAGAATTATTAATTATTAAGATTAATTGACTCTTAGTTAGTTTAATCATATATTTTTTCTCATCAGGTTGAACTGTGCCAAGAATGTATTGAGTGGGCGAAACAGGAAAACAGGACATTTTTGAGGCAGGCTCTAGAAGCCAGACTTGTATCATTGTATTTCGATGTTAAGAGATATGAGGATGCTTTGCAATTAGGTATTTTTGTTTCGGTATTTTTTGTATTGGTATTTTTGTATCTTGTGTATTTGTGTTTTTGCACTTGAATTTGAAGTATGTGCAGCTGGTTTTTATGTGTATATTTAAATTTCCTTTCACTAAAATTCTGTCAGCCAATTGGTTAAACAAACAAACAATCAACCAATCAACTAACTAACTAACCAACCAATCAATAAATCTTTCACTCTTTCAATCAACCAACCATTTCACTAATCATTCACAGGATCCTCTTTATTAAAAGAATTGAAGAAACTAGATGACAAAGCACTGCTGGTTGAAGTTCAGCTTCTGGAAAGTAAGACATACCATGCATTGAGTAACCTCCCCAGAGCCAGGTAATTAAAATATTATAATTATTATCATAATTATTCATAACCTCATTAATATTCATGACCTTTAGAGCAGCCTTGACCTCAGCTCGCACCACAGCCAATGGTATTTACTGCCCCCCCAAATTACAGGCTGCCCTGGACACACAATCTGGTAATTTATAATATAATATATTAAGATAAATTATGGTTATAATTGTTCATAATTATTATGGTTATAATTGTTTATAATAATCGAAGGCATACTGCATGCTGCTGATGAGAGGGATTTTAAGACTGCCTATTCATACTTCTATGAGGCTTTTGAAGGTGATTTGCTTGAAAAAATATTAAAAATTATGATCAATAATTATGATTTTTTATTATTTATAATTATTATTATGTTATTATTACAAGTTTATATGTTGCACAGTTTCACATTTCAATGAAACTCCTTGCAGGGCATCCATTATTTTTATATGTTATTAATAATTAGTTTTTAAAATTATTTATTTTTCATAATTTTGGCTAATGTAACTTTGTATTACTAGGATATGATTCTATAGACAGCCCAAAAGCAGTAACTGCCTTGAAGTATATGCTCTTGAGCAAAATTATGCTACACAGGTTGGCTAATTAATTACTCAATCAATTTATTTATTTGTATATGAGTGCATACATGTAAATGTACAAACGCATGAACATATAATACATACGTACACTCCTGCATAGGCAATCAGTTATTTAAATCTGTATGCACTTTTTCATGCACAAACATTTGAATGGGTAAGCATACATACATACATTCATACATACATACATACATACATACATACATACATACATACATACATACATACATACATACATACATACATGCATATATACATACATATATACATACAAACCACCCATACATACATACATACAAAATGAACATACATACAAAATGAACATACATACAAAATGAACATACATACAAAATGAACATACATACAAAATGAACATACATATAACATATAAAATGAACATTCATACATACACACATACAAAATAAACATACATACATACAAAATGAACATACATACATACATAAAAAATGAACAGTTCTGATGAAGTACATTCGATCGTTAGTGGCAAACTTGCCCTGAAGTACACCGGCCCAGAAGTTGAGGCCATGAAGTTTATTGCACAGGCTAGCCACAAGAGGTCACTGGCCGACTTTAACGAGGTATATACCGTGATCGGGAAACGTATATTTTTCAGTTTTTTTTCAGTTTATTTTTTTTGATTAGGGAATATTATTTTAAATTAGTTAGTAGAAAGAATAAAAGTTTTATTTTATAATTTAATAACATTAGTGCAATAATTAACCGGCAGACGACAGTGAAATACAAAGAACAATTAGAGAATGATCCGATAATCAGGGCACATCTTGATTCTTTGTATGACAGTCTTCTGGAGCAGAATCTATGCCGAATTATAGAACCTTTCTCAAGGGTGCAAGTCGAACATGTTGCTAAACTCATCAACTTAAACATGGTATTGTAATGTATCTTTCTTTTCTTGTGTGTGTGTGTGTGTGTGTGTTGTTTGTATGTAAATGTTTATGTATGTGTGTGTGTATGTGCGTGTTTGCGTGCTATACATCTTTACCTTAGCTTATAATTAATCGTAAATGTCATAATTACCTGAGAATATAATAATTTGTAATAATTTCTAGGATGTTGTTGAGAATAAACTTTCTCAAATGATTCTTGACAAGAAGTTCAATGGTAGGTTGTGATGTTACAAAATTTACAATCTTTGTAAGATGAAAACATAATTGTATTTCAGGTATTTCTCTGATATTTCTAGATTTATTCATGCAAATCTTGAAATTTGAATTCAACATAATATGATTTTCGAAAATTTAATCATGCATGTCTTTATTTGCAGCGAGTTTAAACTCTTAGAATGTATACCAAATAACATCTATAGGTTATTAGCTATGTAGATTTAAAACAATTTACTATTTTTTTAAATTTATTCATTTGAATTTCGCCATAATTATCATTTATTTATCATAATTTCATAATTAAATAGGTATATTGGATCAAGGGTCAGGTGTCTTGATAATCTTCGATGAAACTTCAACTGACAAAACGTATGAGACAGTCTTAGAAACTATCCAAAGTATGGGCAAAGTCGTTGACTCCCTGTACAACAAAGCCAAGAAGCTGACATAAATTTACATAAATTAGCATAAAATTTAAATAAAACTAGTGTCTGATTGTCGAAACTGATTCTTTAAGACAAAAAAATGGATGTGAACAAAGTTTAGGCGAAGCTCTCATCTATTTATTTTCTTTGTTTTGAGTTTTTTGAAGTTTTGAACTATAGTTAGTAATAAAAGTAAGCTATTGCTATTTTGTAATAATAATTCAATGAATAATAGGAATAATAATAAATGTAAAAGGTGGAGTGAGATCTACATCAACTTTTTCTTTTTTCAATATCTGCCTGTTGAAATAAGAGTGAAGAAATTGTTTCACCTATTAACATTATTAAAACATTATATTATATTATATACTAAAAATACTATTGCTATTAGTATTAGTATAATAAAAACAGTACTTGAATTTCTTTGGGGAAAACATCAAAGTTTTCTAGTGAACATGGTAGGCAATATCTCTGGCAATAAAATAAACTGCAGTCCTACAAATACAAATATTACAAATCATGCATACATGTTTCACACTGAAATATATGAACATCAATTTTATAGTAATAATTATTGGTAGACATGTAAATAAGTTTATTTATATGTATATATAAATCTGGGTGTGTGTGTGTTTTGGTAATTAAAAAAATTAGCAGGGGTGAGTTAAATAACAGTAACAGATTAAAAAAAGACTATTGAACTGTACAACTTTGTTAAAACTTTTAACTTAAAAGATGTCTACAGCTCATCCCATTTTGGCCAAATGAAAATTTAAGAACTTTTAAAATAATTTTCAGCTGTAATTACTGTTGAAACGCAGACGACTTTTTGACATGAAGAGCAATGTGATCCTAGAATGATGTAGGAGTTTCTTTCATTAGTGAATGGATCTCTCATTATGTAGACATCTTCTTTCACACTTGGTGATGAAAAAGTTATTTTAAAATAATTTAAATTAAACAAAATATAGTTGAAAAATTATGTCTATGAAATTATCCATATGTTGTTTAAACTTCATTTAAAATACAATTTTAAATTAATTGGTAAATTCACAAAGCCTTCACATTTAATTCATTAAAACACTTAAAACCTAACTTTATATTTTTAAAAAATGACGGATCTTTGCCAAAATAATCAAATTTAACGGAAACCTTACAGAAAAAACAAAAAAATGTATTTTTTTCCATTCTTCAGGGGAATTTTAAATATAAAAAATTTTCCAATTTTTGCTTTTAAGTTAACTTTTACTCAATTAAAAGTGAATCGATCAAACTTAATGGTCAACAGAGTTGAAGGGTAGAATGTTACTAAAAAAAGGGGGGAAGATGAAGAGGATGAAGATAAAGAAGATGAAAATGACGAAGATGAAAAGGATGGAGGTGAAGATGACAAAGATAACCCGAAAGTTTGATAATTTCTGATTGGCTGGGTGAATAGTTGATGAACCTTGACTGTGATTAGTAGAGTCATTAATTTATTGAGAATTAATGTCTGAAATTTTGGAATGAAATTTACGTGATGGTGATGATAATACCATGTCACCCATGATCGTCGTCCTCATCTTCATCGTCGGCATCAACTTTTCTTAAGGCTTTCAAAAATGATCGGCCCTGACGTTATGCTAAAATGGAGCATGTCACTCAAAAAAAATGTTAATGCCGTTGGCACTGTTGTCTGCACACACACACACGCACGCACACACGTACACACAAACATACACACGCAC